AGTAGAAGGCCAAGGACAAATAATCAGCAGGCAATCAAAAGAACTTTTAGATAACTGAGTTTCTAAGGTCCCAATCAGTTTTGGTTCAAAGCTTTTAAGTAAACACAAAAGGACTTGATGGTTGCAAATGAAATATACACGCAAAAAAAAAAAAAGAAATATACACGCAAAAATTCTTCCACAGACATGTGATCCACTATAAATACCAACTCCGCATGTCAGTTGTGTCAAAACCATGTGTCCTCCATGGGACACCAGATAAAGCACTGGATTGGGTTGTAGCTGAGGCCCAGAGAACGGCATCAAACTCTCATGACCCCTGCCCACCTATCCGCTTAGCAACAACAATGAAGCACACAGTTCTACTCTTCTGGAAGAGGACAGATGTCAATTGGCTTTATAATCTTCTTCTAGGAAATGTACAGCTTATCCACTGCTATGGTTTGACTGTGCTCTCAAAACACGGGTGCTGGAAACTTTATCCCCCTTCCTACAGCCTTGGGAAGTGGTGCCTAGTGAGAGATGATTAAGCCGTGACAGCTCTGCCCTTGTAGAAAGATCAATATCATGCCTTTGGGTGTGGGTTCACACTAGAGGTTCCTTACAAAGGCTGGAATCTTGCTGCTCTAGCCCTAGTGTCTGTCTATGGTTCTCTGTGTTCTCATCGGAAGAGGCACTAAGAAAGCCACGGCCAGGTGCAGCCCTTGTCCATCACTTTTCAGTCCCCAGACCGCTTATAAGTCAATATATTTCTGTTCACTATAAATCATCGTGTCTCTGGAATTCTTGTTATTGCAGCCCAGAACAAGCTAATGCACCCTGGCACGTAGATGTGGTGTTGTACATTTGTTCTTCACCATTCATGTATCAGTAGAGACAACAAATACGGAAGCTCTATGTTCCAAGCATGAGAAGACAAAGATAAATTTTATTTTTTGAAAAAACAAAAGAAAAGAAAAGAGAAGATTAAGGTCAATGTTTACTGGGGGCTGACCAGACAATCACAAGTTACGAAGCCATTCGGAAGCTGGTGTGGGTAACTCTCAACATTATGTCAAAAGAGAGACCCTGGGAAGACATAGGATATGTTGAGTTCATTTGTCCACTTCATCCTCTGGCATGCACGGAGCTCCTTACTAATTGTTTCATATTTTAGATACTTACATGTATCTTTTCCTGTGTAGTGTCACAAAATCCTTAACTTAAAGGGGTTTAGTGACATACCTATGAGCACATCAAAACTAATAAGAAAATTAAGACCTGAACCCTGACTAATTCCTGATGAGGGTTTCATTCCAGATGTCTCCAAAAGAGGACAAATGACTGTGACTGTGTGTGACTCAACGGAGACCCTTGGGATGCTGGGTGCTGCTTGTGCTCAGTCAACACCCCACCCATGACTAAGACTCCTTCTGCATTACTTTTCTATGGCTGCGTAACAATCTGCTCTAATCCAGCAGCTCAAACCAATCGAAAGCCCTTATTTCACATCCACTGAGCATCAGAATCCCAGGCTTGACTTAGCTGACTCCTTTGCTTAACATTTACCACGAGGCTGGAAACCCAGGACTCGTATAAAATAAGGTATATTCTCAAGCTTACCAAAATGGTTGCTGGGAGATCAGTTCCTTGAAGGTTACTGAGTGCCGGTCAAAGGCTACCCTCAGTTCCTTTCCCACACGGAAAGTTGCTTCATCAAAGCTGATGGTAGAAAGGGCATCCATTAGCATCATTGTTTCTCATTCATTTGGGAATGAGCATGGTACTGCATCCTATTTGACATAGTATGTTGGTTAGGAATAAGGTTCAGTCCACCCTCAAGAGGAAAGGATTATACAAGGGTATGAATAGCAGGGGCAGTAATGAGGGTTACTTTAGGAGATGGGTACCACATAACCACTGCTAGACCTTAGAACAGTCATTTCCCAGTAGCCTTCAGAGGATTAGGCACATCACAGATCCCAGTGAGTCTGTGGCTGCCTCTCCTCAGAAGAGAAAAACACATCCCATGACTGCCAAAGACTAGAGGCTGGAAGCTGATTTTCCCAGGTAACACCTGTGAACACTAAATCCAGACTGTCTGGCTCCAACAGCCCACAATTCCTCCATTGATCAGCTTGTAGCTTCCTTGATAAGCAAATGTGGTAAAGGAGGCTAGTATCCCCTATACTGGAATGCTAACTCACGCTGTGAACCCACAAATTACCTGAGCACGTCTGTATCACATAGCACAGGAAGATGAGGGGAGTCCTATCTTTCATTCTTTCGCTGACTGTGGCCTTGGTACGTTTACCTGACACAGTGTTTAATTAACCCATGTGAGTAATCCATAGGTCACAGTAAGGAAATGTTCTCAAACTCTCATGTCAACTAGTGGTACCCCATGAGCCTCGCCTTACACGGTATGTCTTGACCATCCCTGACCACTGGTGCCATCCAGGTATTCCAGCATTGTTTGTGTAAACACTTTCCTTTCCCTTTGTTGAAGTGATCCTATGAGTTCAGACAATAACCTCACACATGTGTAACATTTGCTTCAAATGGATTCTGCTCCTAAATGTAAGAGCTAAAAACCACACATGCAAGAGCTAAATATCTCTTACAAGACAATATAGATGAAAAATCTCTATGACCTTCAACTAGGAAAAAACAGAGTGACAAGTAAAAAAGAAATTGAAATGTTTCTATATAAGAAGATATTATTTTAAAAATTAAAAGATAATAAGACTCTCAGTGCAATCTCCTTTCCCTGCAGCTATACTAAATAAACCATAGCCTGAGAAAAATGACTTTCATATTATATACCTGATAAAATATTTTTATCTAGACTATAAAATACATACTCAGGAGGCTGAGATCTGAGGATCATGGTTCAAAGCCAGCCCAGGCAGGAAAGTCCATGAGATTCTTATCTGCAATAAACCATTAGAAAACTGGAAGTGGCACTGTGACTCAAGTGGTAGAGAGCTCACCTTGAGCTGAAGAACTGAGGGACAGCACCCAGGCCCAGAGTTCAAGCCCCACAACCAACAACAAAAAAATATATAACTCAAGAGTGAAAACAAAACAAACACAATTTTAAATTGAGCAAAGGCATTTCAATTTTCTTTAAACCATTTGAATACTCTACCAAAAAGGTGTATGAATGCCTAGTAAACAAATGCAGAGATAATGTACACCACAGGCAACACAATTTCTGACCCCTAGAACAGCTCTAATAAAAAGACAGTCCCTACCAATCAGAGGATGAGAAGAAACACTGAGTCAGAAAACCGGAATTCTTCATGCATTGTTGATGGGAAACAACCACTTTGGAAAAGGTTTGGGGATTTCTTTAAAAGTTAAAGATGAATTGAGGGTATAATCTAATTATTTCTCTTCTAGTTTTCCACTCAAGGTGAATAAAAACATGTACTCATATACAAGTGTCTGCATATAAATATTCATGGCAGCTTTCTTCAGAATACCACCTAAAAGGAAAACACAAAAATATCTACCAACTGATGAATGAAAAACAAATATTGCTTACTGATTAGTGAGCAATGGTATGGTGTTCATCACCTAAAGGGAATGAAGTACTGACACGTGCTAACCCAGAAGAATCGCTAAGATAATATCATGTCAAGTAAAAGAAGACAGGTACATAAGACCATGTGTTACATGAATCTATTAATCCAGAATCCAGAAAAGGCAAACTTTAGAAAAACAACACCAAAGAAAAGTTGTCTAGATCTGGAATTGAGAATAAGGTCGATGTGGATAATAGATTATTTGGGGAATAATAAAGGTCCCCAAACAGCCTTATGACTGTCTCAACAGTCCAAACTTCATTAAAAATAACTGGCCATTTAAATAAGTATATTATACACTTCAGTGAATCTCTGTAAAAATCAAAGCAGGGCACTGGTGGTTCCAATCTGCAATCCTGAGCTGAGATCTGAGGATAGCAGTTTGAAGTCAGACTGGACAGGAAAATCTGAGACTCTTATCTCCCATCAACTAGCAAAGAGCAAGAAGTGGAGCTGTGACCCAAAAGGCAGAGGAGCAGCTTTAACCAAAACAGTATCCACAGCATCCTACATCTACTTAGTGCAGGAACAATGATGAGCATGGCTAAGTCACAAAACTGCAAGATCCTGTGACCAGATCATAAATTAGCTAGTTGATTACAGGCTAGCATCCTTTCAGTACTGCTCTTCACCTAGGAATACAAACATCTTTGGGAGGAACAAAAATTGAGGTTTAGAATAAACTGAGAGGGAAAGAAACTCACCCCACATACAACTTTCTCAGTGGAGCTGTCACTATTGCAAATTTAGTTTAATTTTGCAAGATAGCAGCTATGTAGCAAATAACATTCATTGTCAGGTGACAATGGGCTAAATAAAGCAAAATTCCTGCCAGATATATACACGACAGAACAACAAAAAAAATCTCTGGGATTTAACCCTTTTCACTTAAGTACACAGGCTGTGAATCCCAGACAGTATGTAAGAACTGACAGGTTTCTTCATGCAAGATCTACATCACTAACTTATCACAGCCTTGAGGCTACCTCCTCTTCCTCTAACAGAGAAGTACTTAAGAGATTGAGACATGATTTCATGGTAATCAGTCCTTGGGGAGGAGGGATTATGGAGACAGAGTGAGCAATGACCACACAGCAAGAATTCAAGGTGATAAGGCTGAATCAGATGCTACAGTATATAAAGCTCCAGGATGAGAAGACCAGCGGCCAGACCACTGCCTGACTGCCTCTATCAGTCTCACTGGTGAGCACTATCCAAATTGTTCCACCTCTCCTAAGACTGGTTAAGTAGGTCTAGGGACTTGGGGTTTTATTTTGGGGGGGGTTTCTTTGGCAAAAATGGAATGGAGTGGACATGGGGCGTTTCTGAGACCCTGTACTCATTCAACTTGTACTCTATTTTCAGCTTTCTCCACGGCCGCTTGCCGTCCCACGTGCTCCTTGGGGTGTTCTGACTCCCGAACTGCCTGCTATGGCTGCATGGAGCTGTCTGGTGACGGGAGCTGGGGGGTTTCTAGGCCAGAAGATCATCAGCTTCTTGATGGAGGAGAAGGACCTGCAAGAGATCAGGGCCCTGGACAAAAACTTCAGACCAGACACCAGAGAAGAATTTTCTAGTAAGTAAGCAAGCAAAAGGCTTCAGGGTATGGCTCCATTGTGAATCCTGGGTTTGTGAGAACAGGGTCCAGGCTGGAAGTGGAAGGATGCGTGGTCCCTCAGGTTCCCGTTACGTGGACCCACTCATCAGTAGTCAGGAAGGACAGAGCCAAGTGGGACAGCCCAAGTAGGCAGTGAGCTGTGCACAGCTGTTGGGAGAGTGGATTACAGCCTGCCAGGGACGTGCAAAAAGCAGACACAGGCAGTTGCTGAGATGCCAGGCCTCTCTTCTTTTGTAGAAATCACTCATCAGCTCTCCCCCTATGCTCAAGCTCTTTTTTTCTTTCTTTTTCCTTTGTCAGTGTGGGACTGGGAGCTGTCCCTTAGCACTTCAGCTCAAGGTGAGCGCTCTACCATTGAGCCACAGCGCCACTTGCAGTTTTCTGGTGGTTTATTGGAGATAAGAGTCTCATGGACTTTACTGCCCAGGCTGGCTTCGAACTGCAATTGTCACATCTCAGCCTCCTGAGTAGCTAGGATGACAGGCATGAGCCACCGGTGCTGGGCTTAGGCTCCAGCTCTTTAAAGTACTGAGGGCATAGGCTCATCCCCTACTGATTGCCAAAGACTAGTTGTTTGTTGTTTTGGTTTTGCTTTTGTTTTACTTTTATTTTAAAATTTTATTTTATTGTAAAGATGCTGTACAGAGGGGTTACAGTTATGGGCTTTTTGGTTGCTTGCTGGTGGTTGTTGAGTTTTAAATAGTCTACTCAGACTATTGGGTGAAATAAAATACAGGTCATTTTAGTTGGTTACATTTTTGTGTCAAAGTTAAGAAAAAATAGAACATAAATGTGAGTACATACATGCATAAATGCATAATACATAATACTGTGCACAAATACATAATACAGGGGGCTGGGAAGGTAGCTCAGTGGTAGAGCACTTGACTTGCATGCATGAGGCACTGGGTTCAATTCCTCAGCACCACATAAGCAAAAAGAAAAAAGCTGGAAGTGGCACTGTGGTTCAAGTGGTAGAGTGCTAGCCTTGAGCTGAAGAGCTGAGGGACAGTGCCCAGGCCCAGAGTTCAAGCCCCACGACCGAAAAAAAAAAATTAGTGTTTTCACACAGCTGACAGCAGTTGATATCCTCATGGGAATGGAGGTGTGCTATGGTTTGAATGTGGTTTGTGCTCCCGAGCTTCTGGTGTTAGGTACTTGGCCACTACTGTGGCATAAGCAGGGCGACACACCCTGATTCTTCTACAGCGTACCCCCAGGCCCCTCTCTTCCTCAGCCCCACTAAGAAACACGTTCTGGAAAGTCTGTTGTTCTTTCCAAAACTGCTGCCTGTGAAGCAAACACAGCAGCTAGACGGCCAGTGCTTTGCCATGTGCTTCCTCCTCAGATCCTGTAGAGAGGGTAGGAAAAGCTGCTCAGCCATCAGATGGTCAGGCCTTTAAGCTGCATAAAGGAAAGATCATCTGATAGCTGGAGAGCAGAGCTCTCTCCCTGAACACACTGCCTGTTCCCTTGCTCCAGCCAGTCTCACGGGGCAGGCAGGCCGAGGCTGTCCAAAGCATTACCAGATAAATGTCTGGGCTCCCTGCGCTGAGATCCGTAATCAGGTGAGAGTTGGCCATCTAGTGGTGCTTAGGGGTACGGACACGTTTCCTAGTCAGAAGGAAAGAGCAGGGAAAAAGTAGGCTATGTGCGGAAGGGTCTTCATTATCCAGAGAATATGTTTTCATCTTCACTTCTGTGCAACCTACTTGAATCTTCTGGAGCTCAATTCTATAGTTCTCCTTAGCAATAAAGACTAAGAGCTAATGACTGAGGTGATAGCCTTATCCCTGACACAACCTCTCCAGTTGGTCTCTGACTCTTGGTCCAGAGAATGCTCAATCAGTTTTGCTGTCCAACTGTGTGCTCAGCAGTTTCGCACACCCTACTCCAGGCTGGGAGTATGCCATGTCTACCCTGGCTATCTGCAGGAGTATGCCATGTCTACCCTGGCTATCTGCTCGGCCCTCCGTGGTACACACAGGACATTCCACAGCTCTCATCTTCTTCTCTGCTTCTCTCTGGACACTCCAAATTTCCAGCTTACTCCTTAGGAATAAAAGTTGTCACAGGATCAGTACCAATTATAAATCCTAGTAGACTCAAACACGAACCTAATGCCAGGCAGGGAAGAAGAGACACCCCAGGGAAGAACTGGTGGCTGCTGTGCATGGGACAGGCAGCAGAAGGGAAGGAAATGGGGACCCCTGTGTCCTCCCTGCACCAGAATCTGTGTACCCTGTTTGTTGTGATAGCCCTTGGCTCTGGGCTGCTCTTGTCTGGTCTCCTTATCTCCTCTGAGCCAGTCTGTCTGAAGACACCAGTAAGAGAGAAGGGAAGGGAAGTGAGGCACAGCCCAGTGGAGCAGAATCAGAGAAGTCCACTCTCAGGTACATATCTTAATCCAACAGTCTCTCCTGTGTCCCTCTTCATCCACCAGAGAGCCTTCCTAGGATGGCCTGCCAAAGAAAGGGGCCTGGTATAGCCAGCACTGAGAAGAGGATTAAGAAATAGAATAGTCCACTGGGCACCGGTGGCTCACGCCTGCTATCCTAGCTACTAAGGATCCTAGCTACTGAGATATGATGATCGCGGTTCAAAGCCAGCCCGGGCAGAAAAGTCTGTGAGCTTCTTATCTCCAATAAACCACTAGAAAACCAGAAGTGGCACTGTGGCTCAAGTGGTAGAGCACTAGCCTTGAGCTGAAGAACTGAGGGACAGCCCCCAGGCCCAGAGTTCAAGCCCCATGACTGGCAAAAAAAAAATATAGGAAGGAAGGAAGCAAGGGAGGGAGGGAGGGAGGGAGGGAGGGAGGGAGAGAAAGTAGTCCTACTTCACTGTCAAATTCAGTTCAATTGATTCATCCTTTTTCTGCCTCAAAAGTTGGTTGTAAGCCACTAGACCTACCTTTGGGCTAGAGGGGTAAGAGAGCAAGGTCTAGAAGCAGGGTGTTCTGGGTTGGCATCTACACTGGAAGTGTGTCCTGAGCTGCTCTGGTCTCACATGCCTCACCTATACTTCAGCCGTCAGAAATCAGTAGGAAAGGAAACTACATGTATGTGTAAATCATGGAGTACAGCATTCACACAGACTATGTGAAGCCCTGTGCTTGTTTTGGCAGCCATAATGGTGGTGTCCTGACAAGCAATGCTGTCTAGAGTTGTTTTCAGGAAAGAGCACACTGGCATGTTCCCACTGCCCTGGGATGGCTGGCTGGCTATAGAAGCAGTGCCTTTGACACTGACTGGTTTGCTACAGTGATGTCAGCTCTCAGAGTATGTAGTTTCTTAGCGATTCGGTGGAGTTTACCACTAGAGCCATTCTAAATTCCTCATCAATGGCTACACCCTACCTCTACTCACTCAAGCATGGACTGAGAGGGCTGACAGGAACTTGCCTATTGTGTTATACCCAGACAGTAACTACCAAGTCCTGTCAGGGAAAGGAAGTATTCTTCATTGTTACATTTCCCTCCTTCAATCACTGCTCTAGAACCTAGCTCCACCTCCTCAGAGCTCAGTCACAATTGTGCTAATCTACCCATCACATAGCTCTCTATTTCAAGCTTAATCTGATGCCACTGTTAGCTTTCTAAACTACAGCTCTGAAACTGTTTCTCTGTCAACGCCAAACCTACATACAAATATCCTTTCCCCACAAAGCTAGGGAAAACAGTGTTCCCTCATATATCCGACCCTCACAACCTCTCCCTCGGATCTTGCTAACTATTACCAGCTTCTCTTTGTGAAATGAATCTTATGTTCTAAGCACACAGTTCAGATGCATTTCAATAGACAGGATGCCATGGAAAGGGTTTTGTTGTTGTTCCCACTAAGAGCTACAGATGTTCATTCCTGTGTCTTTTTAGCTATTCCATTAACTGAATGCCCTGCCTCTCCCAACATGATCGCATTAAGATTGTAATTGAACACCAAGGTAATGGGCACCTGCAGGAGGAACTCTTGTGATCCATCAAGAAAACCTTCCAGTGCCCAGTCTCCTGTTCCCACAGAGCTGCAGACAAAGGCTAAGGTGACAGTGCTGGAAGGGGACATTCTGGATGCCCAGTGTCTGAGGAGAGCCTGCCAGGGAGTCTCAGTCGTCATCCACACCGCTGCTCTGATTGATGTCAATGGTATCAATCCCAGACAGACCATCATGGACATCAACCTCACAGGTACAGTACCTTGGGGAGAGGGGGGACAAATGGCAACACGGATGAAAACACAGATGACAAAAGGGAGAAAATAAGCCATTATAACAGCTCCTGCCTGAGCCGGATCTGCTGCTGCCTAAGTTCAACAGTCCCAGCCCAGAGAACTCAGGGCTGTGGTTTCAGTGTTTTCTATGAGAAAGCAAGGCTGAGAAAGGGCAAGAATGTGGAATGCCTCACAGGGTGAGCAGAGATTTAAAGACACCTGTATGTCTCCAGCTGCTAGAAGACCTCTTCCTCTTGTTTATACATTCCAACCTCAACCAGACTTGGACCCCAAATCCCTGATATCGATTCACCCTGCCTCCTCACCAGGCGCTTAACACCCCCATGCAGAGCCCACCTGAAGTCAGGATTCCCCTAGAGAGGGTAGCAAAGCCACCCCACAGAGCTCTGCTAGGAAACATGTTCAGAACTCGCCTTCCCCAAACACCTCTCCTGCTCTCCATGACAGCCTCTCAGCTCACCACGGGACTGGTCTTGGGGAGCTGGTCCTAGCCAGATGCAGAGTCACCCCTCAGCTGCTCATCCCTCCATGACTGGCAGCTCTTTCTGAAATGTAGGTTCTTAATCTAGTACAAATCTAAACACATTCCCTCAAAGAGGCCTGCCTTGTCTTTGTTTTGAAGTTCCTCTGACCCCTAAGAGCCATTCTTTGCAGCCCCAGTGCATCCTGGTCCTTTCCCTCTCATCACCTGTCTTTCAATATCACCACTCGGTGGCTCCTCTTCTAAAGCCGCCAGTTGGTTTTGGATTTCCAGCACTATCTCAGAAGTGGCCCATTCTAGTGTCAAATTCACCACACCCCTCTCTATCCACCATGGGGGATGGTGTCTCAAGGACTCAGTTCTGGTCTCTGCTTTTAAGGACTACCTGGTTCATTTTCCAACAGGAGAGGTGGAAGACAAAAGGGACTGTGTTACAGGTGGAACCTTCACTAAACACTGTCACAGGTTAAGAAAATGCTTCACAATAATGATTATTTTTATTCTGCTGAAATTAAGTCCATATTACTTGGCCACCATATTTATCTTAGCTCTTTTTTTTTTTTTTGGTTGGTCATAGGGCTTGAACTCTGGGCCCTTGGTGCTGTCCCTCAGCTCTTCAGCTCAAGGCGAGTGCTCTACCACTTGAGCCACAGCACCACTTCTACCATATTTATCTTAAAACAAAATGAGATTAGAAGTCCTGAAGATAAAATTACAGTAAGACTCTTCAATACATATAAATCTAACACTCAATTCAATATATTGCCTTTGCTAGGACAGTCTTTCCTTCGATTAGAGAAGACACTCTGCCTCTCCACCATGAACAAAACGCTTTAGTGACACAGGAGCCCACCAAGCTCTACAGTGTGCATGTTCCCAGCCGAGGGCACATTTCGCTCACTAGTTCTCCACCACGCTCAATAGAAAAGACCAGTGCAGAACCAGAGAACGCAGTTCATTTCTGAGTCAATGAAGTTAGAGAAAGACCTAGAAGTGGCTTCGCAGGAAACACAAAACCCACAACAGCAGCCGGGTGTCTAACATCTACCAGCTAGATAACAACTTGCCCATTGAGGCACAGAATGATCATGTGACAAAGATTTATTGACATATATAAAAAAGCATAAACAACAGAATAATGTACATTTACATTATTTGCTTGGGTGAATTCCACTTGTCTAAAAAAAAACAACTATGGGCTCCTGAGATTATGCACTTAAAATAACTGTTTTTTTATGAAATGGTGTCTATAAAAATTAACTTAAGCCACTATACTGGAAAGGAAAAAAATGACAAAGAATATGTTTATAATCACAAACACATACTCATAAATACATCTATTCATACACAGACACATGGGATTATGGTCCCACAAGTCAGCATCTGTTGCTTTGGGCATTATTCCTGTACCTGTGGCTATCACTTCCATATTTGACTCTTGGTCTGATAAAAGCCTGCTAATATCTATGGTTCCTCCAATTGGGTACAGGACAGAGATGACCTTTGAAGCGATGGCAAACCCTCTACTTCATTTCCTCACGTTGATGCCATATTTGCCATTGGCAGGTACCCAGCTCCTGTTGGAAGCCTGTGTCCACGCAAGTGTACCCATCTTCATCTATACCAGCACAGTGGAGACAGCGTTGCCCAACAACTACAATGAGATCATCCACAATGCCCAGGAGGAAGAGAATCATGAATGCATATCGACTGACCCATACCCACACAGCAAAAAGTTGGCTGAGAAGGCTGTGCTGGCAGCCAACGGGTGCACCCTTAAAAACGGTGGCACTTTGCATACTTGCTCCTTGAGGCCTATGTACATCTATGGGGAGGGAAACAAATTCCTTCTTCCCATTGTGATGACAGCCCTTAGAACCAATGGTGTGCTTAGAAAAACAGGCCCATTGTCTCTGGTCAACCCCGTCTATGTGGGCAACGTGGCCTGGGCCCACATTCTGGCCTGCAGAGGCCTGAGGGACCCCAAGAAGGCACCAAACATCCAAGGGCAGTTCTACTACATCTCAGATGACACACCTCACCAAAGCTATGATGACTTAAATTACATAATGTGCAAAGAATGGGGCTTCTGCCTTGATCCTAAGCCCACCCCTCCTCTCTTCCTGCTGTACTGGCTGGCTTTCCTGCTGGAAGCAGTGAGCTTCCTGCTGCGTCCTATCTACGAGTACCGACCCTCCTTTACCCGACACTTAGTGGTACTCACAAACAGCGTGTACACCTTCTCCTACAAGAAAGCACAGCGAGATCTTGGGTATGAGCCACGCTTCAGCTGGGAGGAAGCCAAGCAGAAAACCACCGAGTGGATCGGCTCGCTCGTGAAGCTGCACAAGGGGACGCTGAAGTCAAAAGCTCAGTGAGGTGACAGATGGGGAGCTGAGTGTTGTCAGGGGGGTTGTCCCCATTTTCCCCTGGTCACCTCCAGAAAGGGACTGGGGCACAGGCCCTGATTCCCTCTTCCCTCTGACACCAGGGCCAATGAGGGTCACCCTGGGCCACCAGGAGCCTTCCCAGCCTGAGACCCACCCAGAAGCTTCCACCCTAACCCCGACACCCCGGTACACAGAGGAGCTGCTGAGTCTCACCTGCAGTGTCTGGCTCCAGTAGCTGCTCTGAGCCACTTGGGGTCTTTGTGACTTGGAGCTTCGATTCTTTGGTTCTTCTTCTTGCATTTCTTTCTTTGTTAAATTCCCACTCCTAATGAAAGTCAATAGAGAGAACAACAAAGATCTTATGTTGGACATGGACAAAGAGTCTATCTGTGAACATGCTTTACCAGTTTTCTTTCTTTAACCTGCAGTTGGCCCACTACAAAAAGCAGCCTGGAACCAGGAGGAGGATGGTGGACATTTCAGGAAGGGAGCAGTACTTAGGCATGTACCACAAGACAGGCACAGAGTTCCCTAAAAGGTGCCTGTTTCTCTCCTATCCATGGGCCTTAGACTCAAAACAATCTATCACATAAACACGTACAAGGGCATATGCATACACACACTGCAAGATGACTATAGTATATTCCCGAATGAAACTCCAGAAAGTAAACCCTTTTAACAATGAACAGTTTGCAAAATAAATAACAGGACGCTGAAAAGGTTTGATGCTTCAAGAACTTGGGTGACCCCAGATTTGTGATTATCTTCCTCCAGGACAAATACCCAGCATTCCCATAATCCTAAGGGCTCACTGAAATGCAAACAAGGAGGCAGGTATGATCACTAAGAGGCGAAAGGTTCTGTTTACAGGTCTTACCTGCTAACGCCATGTTTCTGTGGAATGCAGAGAGACCATGCAAACTATGATTTGTCAAAGTCCACGGCAGATGACAAGCATTTGCCATAACCATCAAGATAAAATATGCAGAAATGGTTAATGGGTAATTCTTTACGTTTTTTGTTTTTTTGTTTTTGGGTACGGTCATGGGGCCTGAACTCTGGGCCTGGGTGCTGTCCCTCAGCTCTTCAGCTCAAGGCTAGTGCTCTACCACTTGAGCCACAGCACCACTTCTGGCTTTTTTCTTTTTGCTTATGTGGTAATGAGGAATCGAACCCAGGGCCTCAGGCATGCAAGGCAAGTGCTCTACCATTGAGCCACCTTCCCAGCCCTGTGAGCATCTTATTTTTCAAGAGTAGAGAATGTCCCATTTTCCATAATTACCTGTCCAATGACTTCGCCTCAATTCCACCACTCCCACACTGATAAGGAATGTACACACATGTATTTGGAAACAGATACTAGTGGTACATTATTAACACATTTACAAATACAAAAGCAGTGTTATCCTAGGAAGCACCTGTAATGTGCATACAACAAGAATCAAAGGTTATTACATTCAGAGGTCAGCGTATAAAGCTCCAGCCCCACTATAACAGGTGAGGAAAGAACACAGGCTCTTAGGGACGATCTACCTTTCAACAGCGGAACAGGTTAGAACTTTTCATTTTCTTCCTGCTGTTTCTGGTGGCGGTGGATGCAGGGATTTTGTCATGATGGGGCAGAGAGAAGAAGAGGGGTATGATATTGTGATATGTACTTCTTGGGCTTACGACCAGAGTCGTTCCCCTATCCTTCCCTAATAAGGCAGGCTGTGGTGGCCCCTGGCCTTGATCTTTCAAGGAAGGTATACAACAGCCAAACACACAACTTTCCCCTTTCATACTCTTAGCACTGAGGCATTTACTTGGCGTCCAATCATATTTCATTCTGCCTGTTCTTCACGCTTCAACCATGGCTATAGGGTGACTGTACCCAGAGTAACACTAGGCTAGGGTCCTAAACTGAAGATTACACCTGTCACACCTGGCCACTCATTCCACTGTAGACTGTAAGGAGATCTGAATTGTTGAAAGGCAAGGGAAGATTTAGTAATAGGTCTGCACATGGAAGGAGACAGAAAGAAATTCAGCCAGTCTTCCAGATGAGATCTGAGCTTTAGGGTTAGATGAAGGAAGAACACAAGCAGGAATGCATGCTTAAGTCCCTTGTTGAGGTCAAATGTGAGGTCTATGATCGAAGGAGTAACCAGATGGTCAAGTGGATGATTAGCTAAGGAGTGGACAGCTGGAGCCTTGTCAACAGCTGTTGATTTTGAGAAGCACTGACAAGTTTGGATTCTTCCATGGATTCTGACATTCCTGAAACGCAAGGTGACTGCAAAAGCATTTCAGGTGAACGGAGACATGTGAAAAAATGTAGGCAGGGCATTTGCTAGCCCAAGTAAAAGGTCATGCTATCTGCACTGGCCTCAGTTCCTCAGTTACCCACTGTATGAAGGCACTTTTGAAAGTGGAGATAAAGCAAAAGGAGTTGAGAACCACTTAGTTAAGCAGATTTCAACCAAGCTCACAGCTGAACATTACCCCTGGGCTGCAGATGCCTCTACCTCACCTCCATAGGAGCTGATCTTAGAACTTTGTTATTCCTGTCAACATATGTATACCCAGGGAGCTCATTTTCAGGACTGCTTGAATCTGTTTTTCTGGACATCAACTTAAACACACACACACACACACACACACACACACTTCGTTATTCTCTGCCATGTAGCTTTTAATCTCAGTTGACTTAAATAGTGCAGAGTTGGGGGTCAGTGGAATGGAATTTACTAGAATGATGCTGAATCTCAGCAATGAGTCCTGGGAACCCACTAGATTATGTATGGTGGACCTCTGCTTCACTGAAAGCCACTGGAAATATAAGGGGCAGAAATAAAAGCTTACAGGAAAAAAGTGAAATGTTGGATCTTTTTTTTGTCGGCCGTGGGGCCTGAACTCTGGGCCTGGACCCTGTCCCTTAGCTCTTCAGCTCAAGGATAGCACTCTACCACTTGAGCCACAGTGCAAGTTCTGGCTTTTCTGCTTATGTGGTGCTGACGAATCAAACCCAGGGCCTCATACATGCAAGCCAAGCACTCTACCACTAAGCCATCTTCCTAGCCCTGGGATCTTTTTTATTAAATGTAAGATAGGTGAAAGGGACAGACTGCTTCCTGATTGTCTGAACTTAGACCAACTTCCTTACAGCTCCAGCCAAGATTAAAACTGGAAAGCTATCATGAACTAAGACCTTTGGTCTACAATGTGGTCCATTGCTCAGGTTAAGGGTAATTCTAAGAAACTACAGAAGCCAGAGAGATTGCTGTAAAGGAATTGTCTCATTTATTTCACTCAAATGGATTGTGAGAGAACTTAATTAGATCAGCAGGTCTGTTTTTTTCAGTTCTGCACAGTGGAAGAGGATGTTTGAGTTGCTAAAGGACCTACAGTTTCAGATAGATCCATTGTTGCAGACCAATATTAGTTTATTCCTAAGGGAATGTATCTCTGGTGGTTCAATGGGTAGAAGATTCTGGAAGGTATCTTTTGTGTGAGAAGTGGGGCTTTCAGAGGAGTCTGAAATGCTAACTTCCAGATGAAGTAATGGTTATGCCTCTTTTGCAAGCCATATGTGACCAGATGACCAGACTACGACCCACACACTATACCTATCACTCAGGTCTTGGCAGGTAGGTCCAATTTCTACAATGATTTCCTCTAACTTTACTAATATAAAATGTAGATCTGATCAGAAAGGTCAAATTTACTGTCTCATTTTCCCATGGTGGATTGTACACATGCTAGTAATAATGTAATAATAATTAAGAAGAGAACAGGAAAGACAAAAGAGAGAATCATAAGATTCATTTCACAAAGGTGGATGTTTTTTAAAAGATGAGTTACAAATAATGTAAATGCAAAAAATATTTTTAGAAACAGTCATTGGCTCATGCCTGTAATCCTAGCTACTCAGGAGGCAAGTCCATGAGACTCTTAATCTCCAATTATTCAGCAAAGAAAGTCACAAGTGGAGCTGTGGCTCACACTAGCCTTGAACAAAAAGGCTCAAGGACAGCACCCAAGTACTGAGTTCAAGCCCCAGAGCCATTTTCTTCTTAAGTGAAAACTAGGAAAGTCTGAAATATAAGGGTGTGCTGAGCCATCCCTTACTAGAAGGGACCAGGATTGAGTCCTGAGCAAGACCCCATAGCTAGTAGCAACAAAAGTAAGTGTAACCAGTTGGCTGCATTCACCTAAACTTTAGGTGAGAAAGGTGCAAGATTTGGAGTCAGGAGAATAATGTAGTGGCTCTTGTAACTGTTAGCGATTCAGATCATTGGGTCCGAAGCCAGAAGCCTCTTAGACTCATGAAAGAATTCAAGGACAGACCTGGAAACCTGAACAGCACTGGTATTTGTGCGAAGGAAAGTGCATGCACACACTCAGATAGGAGAGCAGACAGACTTGAGAATGAATGACTCCCGTGTAGAGACCCAAAAGTCAAGCTTTTTAACAGGGCCTCCCAATAGAGGGAGTAGTTGTTCTTGAAAAGTATAATTACATGGAGTGAACTCCTCCCACAGGTAGGATGGATAATTGAACCTAGACTCCCAGTTTCCCTGTGGAGTGAGGCCACAGCCCTGGCCAGGATCATGAGTCATTTATTTAACGTCAGCAGGCCAGGATAGGATTTGTTATCAACATTCTAGCTACTACTTCCAGTCATCAGAAACCAAATGCTAGGAGCCCTGCAGATTACCTCCCTTCTCCAATCCCCCCACCCCCCACCACCCAACTTTTGAGAGTGCTGTGGAATGTGGAGACGTGTTGTCTAGCTGGCTCCGCCTGTTACCTGAATAGTGCCCTTTATCTTACCTTCATCTTTTTCTGGACTATTCTCAAAAGCACTGGTTTGTGTGAAGAAGGCAAAAAGAGGGTCTCAGGACTCCATAGCAACGTAGAAATCTTCAATGTTCTACATAATGGAATGAATACAATTGAAGGGAACAGGCTTCTAGTAAATAATTCCCTTAATTCATCTTAAAGATTTCAATGCCTCTTTCCTCCAGGGTGGATGAGAGGAACCCTTTCCCTCAACATGGGAACAAGCTCCAAACAAGTTTCTGCATTGATTTCAGCAGGGAGAACTTGGAAGAGCCAGGGAGCACAGGTTACAAGCAATCTGATATGAAACTGCCTAAATCAAGAGTCAGGCGCAGGAATCTAGATAAAGACCGTCTGGGGTCCTGACTGTTACACCCCCACCCCCTCGTCGCAGGACCCACACCAAGAAGACCACTGAGAGTCAGACATTCCGAAATGCAAAAGCAAGGCTTTATTCAGGCAGGCTGCAGCTCGGGCCTCATCCTACACACCGACTCAGCGGAGCTTAGGAGGAGAGCCCGGAGCTGAAATGTCACAGGGTTTATAAAGGCAAAAACAACCAAGTTACAAAAGGAGAAGGAGAGAAAAAAAAAATCACAGACTGACAAATTTACAGCAACTAGAGGCATCAGCAGGGCATTCCAAGGTGATAAGAGGTAGTAGGGAGTTATCAAACTGGCTGGGTCTCAATGGGCCATCTGGACATTCCAGAGCAGTTAAAGCTTAGCAGGGAGTAATTGGCGGTCTGTTTATCTTGGGCCAGCTTGGTCATCTCCTGAAGTTTGTGGGGACCCAGGGCCAGCTATAGTACAAAGTGGGGCCTGACTTCAGAGTAGCTTTGTTCAAGTAATCTATGGTTTAGCAGTTTCAGCACAAACAAGACAGTTTCTGAAATTCAGGTGGGCCCAAGGTTAGTATGAGCAACAGAAGGGTTACTGCTTCGAAACAAAGCCACTTTTAACTCTTCACTGACAGTAATCCCAGTTTAGGTCAGAGTTCCCAGGGTCTATGCTTCACCCTGTCTGGCAACACTGGAGTGAATCATCAGTATAGTTCCATTAGTTGCTGGTCCAACCAACAGAGAACCTATACCAGAATGGAAGCAGTCTGAAAGGAGGTCTTGCAGGGCTGGTAGCTTACAAATGTGCCTGTTTGGAGATTAATGCATTGAAATGAAGGAATACATGGGGAAATCCAACAATACCTTAACACTTGCAAATCTCTCAGAGAAAAGCACTATCCATCATACTGGATTCATTGTACCAGAGCACCAAGGTCAAGTTCCATGTTTGCTGTGAACTTATGGGCATTGAGTATGAGACAAGCTGGAAGGGAATCGGACCCCTAGGAGTCTCACCCTGGGAAACACATTCCTTAATTGGGTTCATTATTAAATGTCAGACTGGGTTTTTTTAAATGAGGCTGATTATTTGTATATTCATTTTTCTATGTCTGAAAAACAGGATATATAGTTTCTGGTAGTATAATGTAAATCTTACAGTTTCCATTCCCATTTCCTGAGTTATATCCTCCCTGGGAAAAAGATCACAGCAACTAAGTTACAACAGCTCTCCATCAGTGTGGTAAATGACTTTGAATAAATGCCTTAAAGGGGGTGGAGTGGTGATTCATTTCAGCTCACAGTTTCAAAGCTTTCAGTCCTTGGGCACTTAACCCCATGAGCTAGCTCTGGCTTCCAGTGAGCTACAACACCATGACCAAGAGTACAAAGTAGAGCAATGCTGCTCACAACATGGGAGCCAGGAAGTGCAAGAGACAATGAAGAAATGGCCCCGCAGCCCCTCCCTTGGCATATATCCAGAGACACTCACTTCCTTCTGGTAGAACCCACCTCCTAATGGCTGTTCTACCCAACACTGCCTCAGGCAGGTAACCAAGATGGCAGCATTTGGCCTTTGAACACACAGAGGTTGCTGTATAAACCTTCTCCCTCTTCCTCACTGCTCACCCTGTGCAAAAAAAAAAGAAAGAAAAGAAAAACATCTTTTCATCAGTATCTTTTATGCTTTTTCTTCTAATTTGCTTTACCCTTTTGTCTTCTAGAATAGTCCCGCTCAGACTATTCTTCAAAGGAGGACTGCCGTGGACTCTAGGCAGACAGACCTTGTTAGGTTTCCATATCTGATCTCTCAGCACTGCTGTGTGTCAAGCTTATTTCAACTCCACTGTCCTTCTTCATTAGCCCCTACACGGGAAGTCTACGAAAGGGCAGGGTGCAAAGAGCTTCAGATAGACATGGCCGTTTTCCTAGAGGTTGGTGGGCCCAACAAGGGCATATAAGGATTATTCTCCTTCCTGCATTCCTGGCGTTATGCTGCCCTTCATCTCTGTCCTCTGAAGTATCTCAGTATAATAAACCAATAAGTGTAAGTAAACATGTATCTAAGTTCTATAGATGACTCAAGCTACTTAATGGAATGTGAATAGGCATTTGTCATACAAATCTCTGATTTTTTTTTTTTAACTGATTGCCGAGAAGCACAGGGAATGAACTCATATATCATCTAGCTGTATCAGGGCAACAAGCAGTGTGCTGACACAAATTATTAGAATTTTCTCTTTGTGTGTGTGTGTGTGTGCGTGTGCACACACACATGCGTGCCAGTACAGGGACTCAAACTCAGGGCCTGAGTACTGTCCCTTAGCTTTTTCCGCTCAGGACTTTTTGGTGTTTTATTTGAGATAAGCATCTGATAACTCTCCTGTCTAGACTGGCTTTGAGCGGGGATCTTCAGATCTCAGCCTCCTGCGTAGTTAGTATTACACACCAGCGCCCAGCTCAAATGTTAGAACTGAACTGGATGGGAGGCTACCTAGCTGTATCTACTAAAGAATCACTTCTCTGCTATCCCTAGGATAAACTCTTCACATAATTTTAGAGCATAGGCACGATTTACACCTCAGGAAAGTAAGAGGATAAGTGGTTTCTGTTGGGTTTTCTCTCCACGCCATTACCACTGGGAACTAAAAGTCTGTGCTCACTGGTTACTTTCTAATCCTTTCCAGGGTTATACTGCCTTCTTCTTGCTGTGTTCTACTGCTGCACTGGCCATGACTGGGTGGAGATGCCTGGTGACAGGAGCAGGAGGGTTTCTGGGCCAGAGGATCATCAGCTTGTTGACAGAAGAAAATAAGCTACAGGAGATCAGAGCCTTGTACAGAACCTTAAGACCAGAAAACAAGGAGCTGTTATCTAGTGAGTTACCGGATTGAGCATTTGGCTCTAAAGTAAAGCCTAGGTATGGGGAAAGGGAGCCTTGTCTTACAAAAATAGTAAATAAATTAAAAAGCTATGCAGCTTCTCCCATAGCTTAGCCCATTAGGGGGAGTGGAAAATGGTACAGGAAAGTCAGCAATGAACTGATGTTTGGGGAACATGTTCTGCACTCTTGATGCTTGTGCAGCAGGTGGACAGATAGAGCCTATCCACATGGCACACTTCACCCCAGACCCTCGGTGACCCTGCGCACAGGGTGGGAGCCTGGCCTACTCATCTGGCAGTGAGGATTACAGAGAAAAGGCAATAGTCCCCAGGTCATGGGAGCAATGGAGAGCAGAGCTCTGGAGATAGTCAACCCTTAAGTCCCTTTCTTTTATTCCTGTGTACCCTTGAATGGCTATCTCTTTGGGGGGGTCAGTGGCTGTGGCTATACAGGCTTAGTTTGGTCAAAAGTGTGAGCAGGTAAAGGGGTGGCTACTTGTCTCTCAAAAGCCAACAATCAGGAGATAAGAAGTGGGTTGAAGGCAGTTGTCTAGAGGAGATAGACATGTTATCAACCCCAGAGGGCCATCTTGTGGGGTTTGGGGTAAATGTGGAGCTCAGACATAGCAGAGAGTTATATTACAGAGGCTGTGTGCTAAGGGGGTCTTCTTCATCCAAGGTATTTCCTCTGGCTAACCTCTGTCAATGTCTTGGGGACAGTGCCTGCCGTTCTCTTTAGACAAAACTGAAGATGAGGATGAGGCTTTACAAAGGACATCAGATGCCCTGGGTTCTGTAACTCTAAGTCAACAGTTAACATCTTAACCATTTACTACAGCTTTGTTTTAAAATTTAGAGTACTGAGAAAATGGAAAGGGACATAGAATTTGCGAAAGGACTGGGTGGGTAGAATGTCAAAGGGAGGTCAGGCAAATGTAACTCTATCAAGAGGCACGGTGGTGTGAACCTGAAATATCTGCTATGGTAAGAAGAAATACAAAAATTACAGTCTGACCAGGCAGAAGACCCCAGCTGAAAAAAAAAACTATAGGAAAAAGACTTGCAGGGGGAGAAGGTTATAGGAGATAATTGGTTTGCCTACCAAGTTAGAGATCCTGAATCCAATCTCTAGTACCAAAAAATAAAATAAATATTAAAAGAGTAAGTCAGTCAAGAACAACTTAATATCAAAAAGAAAAGGGTGTGATAGAAAGAATGCTTATATGTGTTTTTTTACAGTAGTTAATTTAATCTGCATGCTCTACCAATCCTTGGTCTTTCTTCCTGACCCTGATTTCCTCTCTAACTTTTCACATTTCCTGATTCTCGGGTCATCCAGTTCTTGTCTATCCTGCCTCAATATCTGCCCCAAATAATAATTTAACATTAGAATAATGACTGAAAATACAAAGCGCTATTCATCTGATTTATTATGCAACTTTTGAATATGAATTAATAGTACCTTTATGTAATTATAGCTTAATTTCTACCACATCAGTTTTCATGATGACTTAGGAAATCTCAAGGCTAGCTCTAGACCAAAATGACTTAACCTATAAAGCAATCCAAAAGTTTAACATTTGAGTTAAATATGTCCCTTATTGAATAAAACAAAAACAATTACAAAGACACAAAGCACAAGAAATGATAGAATTTTGGTTTTCAGCTAAGTTACCTGAAATTTTTAAGAAACAGAAATTATACCTCACAATTTTTAAATAGGCACACAAGACCCAAATAGCAGAGACAGAGGAAGTCAAGTGTGCATTTAGGTGTAAGTAGAGATAATTATGCCATCTCTAAAAAGTTTTTAAAGCTTATTTTTTTAAACTTTAATAACATCCTATCTTCAACCATATTGGATTTTTTTCTTCTGATCAACATTGGACCAAAAAAAATGTACTATGGATTTCCTGGTGAAATGTAGTATAGATAAGAAAAACTCTTTTCTTTTTTTTCTGGCTCAAGTTCTCAGGCTTGAAATCAGGGCCTCTGCACTGTCCTTTGGCTTTTTAGCTCCAAGCTACAGCTCTAGCACTTAAGCCACACTTCCTCTTCCAGCTTGTTGTCTGGTTATTTGGACACAAGAGTCTCACAGACTTTTCTGCCCAGGCTGGCTTCAAACTAATATCCTCAGACCTCAGCCAACTGAGTAGGATTACAGAGTTGAGTACCTGGCTTAAGAAAAAAAAAAACTTTTTTGACATCTGTCAAGGATACTACTATTTATATTATACCATCAGACGATAATCCTTGGCAGGCATCAGCAAGTCACTATATCTGTAATCCTAGCTACTCAGGAGGCTGAAATCTGAGGATCCCAATTTGAAGCCAGCCTGGGAAGGAAAGTCTATGAAATTCTTATCTCAAATTAACTACTTACACACACACACACACACACACAAAAACACCAAACTTGAAATGGAGTTGTGGCTCAAGCGGTAGAGTGCTAGCCTTGAACAAAACAAACAATTAAAAAAACCCTCAGGGACAGCACCCAGGTCCTAAGTTTAAGTCCCAGGAGTAGCATTTTTAAAAGTCATGTCTCAAGCAAAAATATATATAACCATACAGACAGAAGTACAAATAGATTCAAACTCCATGCTGTACCTGTGATTTCAAATTGTATACACCTAATTAAATAACCTGTTACTTAAAAATTAAAACTCGATCATAGGAAATATTTCAATACTGTTCATAACATTTCTTAAAAATGTTCTCTAGGGACTGGGAAGGTGGCTCAGTGGTAGAGCACTTGCCTTGCATGCATGAGGCCCTGGGTTCGATTCCTCAGCACCACATAAGTGAAAAGAGAAAAGCCGGAAGTGGCGCTGTGGCTCAAGTGGTAGAGCGCTAGCCTTGAGCTGAAGAGCTGAGGGACAGCACCCAGGCCCTGAGTTCAGGCCCCACAACTGGACCATCCCCCCCCCCAAAATGTTCTCTAGTCCACTCAGAGAAGAACTTAAAAGATATGACCAAAAAAAGACAGTCCTGCCTGTTTCTCCCTCAACTTCAAATCTACCTCCATCATTCATTCCCTACAGAACTAAATTCTAAATTCTTCCTCTTACAGCCAGCTCTTCACAATCTTTCCATTTTCTGTAATGAATTTGATGAACTTCCCACAGCACTCCTTAAAAATTATATTCGAAACACAGAGATCTGACTGTTCAGATTTCTATTCTGCAAGTGGATGTGTTTGAAGCACATGTTGTGGTCTTCCAATAACTGCTACAAATTCGTATCTCTAAGCCTTTGTTTAACGCATCACCTCCTCACAACATTTCCCCTCTAGGACTGCCCCTGGGCACCCAGGTAAGTGTCACCCAATCAGGAATCTTCACAGCCTGTACAGAAAGCTCCCCCTGTGCCCAGTCTCCTGTCCCCACAGAGCTGCAGACAAAGGCTAAGGTGACAGTGCTGGAAGGGAACATTCTGGATGCCCAGTGTTTGTGGAGAGCCTGCCAGGGAGTCTCAGTCGTAATCCATACTGCTGCTCTCATTGACGCCACTGGTGTCATTCCCAGACAGACCATCATTGATGTCAATCTCCAAGGTATTGTACCTCGGGGAGAGATGGGTCTCCAATAGCATCTCAAAGACTTTATTTAGTGTCTCAGGGCACAATTGCAGAAGTGGAGGTAGGGGGAAGAAGGAGGAGGAGGAGGAGGAGATGAAGAGGAAAGAAATGGGAAGGAGGAAGAAGTAGAGCAGAAGATGGAAGAGGAGGAGGAGGAAGAGGAGGAAGAGGAGGAGGAGGAGGAGGAGGAAGAGGAGGAGGAGGAGGAGGAGGAGAGGAAGCAGCAGCAGCTGTTGTATGATTAAATAAGTAGTGAAAGGTAATAGTGATGGCAAATTTGTAGCCATGCAAAAGTAGTTTCCAACTTTGCAAGTGTTTTACATAAAACAACACAGTTCTCCATGTTAGAGATGGGTGAAATATATTTGTAACAGGACAGTGGAAAGCATGTGTTAACCAAAATTTCAATAGGGTAAATACAAAGCAAAACTATGAGTCAGATTATATCAAATCAAGGATTTCTCTTCTATGGAGAAACCTATAGACAACATAATAAATGAGTAATTGATATCCAAATCCAACTTGGAAAATATACACCAAAAAATTGCAGGAAGCTGAACAGAAAAGGAACTATCGGTTCACACATACACACCACAACACACACATACCAAATAGCTAAAAAATTTATAAGAAGAAATGCAGTTACATATGTAGTTTTATTAAAACTTTAAGGAAAAAAAGAGGAAAGAAAGAATACACCTGTCTCTAGAATACACCCAAGGTGGGATGGAGGTAAACCCGAATCTGTGACCATTGCAGATAGTCTTGATTATTCCTTAACGGTAACACTGTGATCTCCACTGGCAGGTACCCAGCGTCTGTTGGAAGCCTGTATCCAAGCTAGTGTGCAAACCTTCATCTACACCAGTTCAATTGCAGTTTCCGGGCCCAACTCCTACAAGGAGACCATCCAGAATGCCCAGGAAGAAGAGAATCATGAATACACATCGACTGACCCATACTCACACAGCAAAAAGCTGGCTGAGAAGGCTGTGCTGGCAGCCAATGGGTGCACCCTTAAAAATGGTGGCACCTTGCATACTTGCTCCTTGAGGCCTCCATTTATCTATGGGGAGGGAAGCAAACATCTTTCTGACATAGTAAATAGTGCTCTCCAGAACAATGGAAACCTTGTAAAATTAGGTCCCTACTCTCTGGTCAACCCCGCCTATGTGGGCAACGTGGCCTGGGCCCACATTCTGGCCTGCAGAGGCCTGAGGGACCCCAAGAAGGCACCAAACATCCAAGGGCAGTTCTACTACATCTCAGATGACACACCTCACCAAAGCTATGATGACTTATATTACATAATGTGCAAAGAATGGGGCTTCTGCCTTGATCCTAAGCCCACCCCTCCTCTCTTCCTGCTGTACTGGCTGGCTTTCCTGCTGGAAGCAGTGAGCTTCCTGCTGCGTCCTATCTACGAGTACCGACCCTCCTTTACCCGACACTTAGTGGTACTCACAAACAGCGTGTACACCTTCTCCTACAAGAAAGCACAGCGAGATCTTGGGTATGAGCCACGCTTCAGCTGGGAGGAAGCCAAGCAGAAAACCACCGAGTGGATCGGCTCGCTCGTGAAGCTGCACAAGGGGACGCTGAAGTCAAAAGCTCAGTGAGGTGACAGATGGGGAGCTGAGTGTTGTCAGGGGGGTTGTCCCCATTTTCCCCTGGTCACCTCCAGAAAGGGACTGGGGCACAGGCCCTGATCCCCTCTTCCCTCTGACACCAGGGCCAATGAGGGTCACCCTGGGCCACCAGGAGCCTTCCCAGCCTGAGACCCACCCAGAAGCTTCCACCCTAACCCCAACACCCCGGTACACAGAAGAGCTGCTGAGTCTCACCTGCAGTGTCCGGCTCCAGTAGCTGCTCTGAGCCACTCGGGGTCTTTGTGACTTGGAGCTTCGATTCTTTGGTTCTTCTTCTTGGCTCAAAGGCTAGAGCATTTCTTTCTTTGTTAAATTCCCATTCCTAATAAAAGTAAGTGAAAGTGCACTAAATGCTTATAGGACCTCATCTGGACAAGGCATGCTTCTGATAACACACTTACCAGCTTTCCTTTCCCCATCCACTATGGTCCTCTGTGGGTCAGAAAAGCAGCGAGGATCCAGGAGGGGAGAAGGGCGGTGAGTAGCTCCAGGAGAAGAGCAGACAGACATTTCAGGCAACTACTAGAAGATAGGCATAGGAACCCAGATTTCCTCCTCACCAGATCAGGGGGACAGGAACTGCTGTCCCTGTGTCATGGATGAGGAAACTTGTATCCCTCTCTGTTTTTGGAACTTGTAAGACAGGTTCAGCAGGGAGGCGGATACCAAAGCTCTCATCTTCCCATTCATTCCCGGACCACTGGTTTGTCATGGGACAAAGAGCGCTAGGACACTGGGTGATATTTCCTGACAGAGACTCAGCTGTCTACTTGCCACTCCCCGCCCCCCTACATACACACCTGTGCCATAAGTTCTCTAGAACTGGAAGAACCTGAGGGGAACATGGGAAATCTCTCATGTTAACTAACGGTCCTGACCAGGATTCTCCTACACACTACCTCCAAAGACAATATTCTCGAAGATTCTAGAAAACTGGATATTTGAGTCTTGAGGTTTTGGATATTCTCAATTTCGAATGTCCACCATCCAGTTCATAGAATGAAAACACGCCATGGATTCTGGGAAAAGAGAAACATGACTGAAGTCTCACACGTATCCCACAGTTATTGAAATTTAGAAATCTGTCCTTACCTCCAGATTGATCTGCCTCTCCCCACCTCCACCCTCATCTCCCGGTCTCCCTTATGTCCCATTAGCTGTCTTCATCCTCCCATCTCCTTAGCCTCTAAACCAAAGTGGGTAGGTGATTCAGTATGGGGAAGAAAAAGCCATTTCCTACTACATCTGTGTTGCCTCCTGTCTTCCCACCAACAGCAGCACAACCCCTCACCCAGACTCCAGATCTCTTATCTCAGCTATTTTCAAATACGTTAATAGGACACATTGGTTTGTACTGAGTTCTGTCCTAGGCCTAAGGTACCAAACTAAAGGGGAGGGGGGGGAGTTTCTTTCGTCTTAAATTTCCATACCCAAAAGCTAAACATCAGGCCCTTATCTGATCTCCAAGATTTCAAGACAGAATGTACACATTATCAAGCCAGTATGTCACTGTCATTATGAGAAGGAAGTCTCTTATGCTATACAGTAAAGGGGGGAGGGGCGGTCAGCTTGTCTAGTTCTGCTGTCTACAGCCCTCTTCTGTCTACAAAGCTAGTGCCTCCGTTTGGCTCACTGAGCACAATTCTATGATACAAAAGAGGAACTGCCCAAGTCCAGACCCATAATCGTTGATGAAAACCTTACTTTGTATGTGTATGTTGACACAATTTACAGATCATTAATTCAGTTGATTTGGACTACCTTCAAGTATTAGCTGACTATTCACTCTGTAGGGGAAAGGAAAAAACAACATTTGAGGTACCCAACTGGGTTTGAACTGGCCACAGAGTGGAGAGGACCCACACTCTGGCATATGACAACTAGAGTTCCTTCTTGGTTATCCAAGGCACAGTGGCAGCACCTGCCCATGTCTGGTGAGGCTGCACAGCTCCCAGACCCAGAGCAAGGGGACAGGGGTGGGGCAGGGGAGGGCGGGGTGCCAGGTCCCTGGGGGAATATGGGAAGGGCCTCCACTCTCCTCTGAAGCCTAGTGAAATTCCTCATTAAATATCTAGGACAATTCTCACAGGGAAGGGATAGAAGCTTGTCTCCCTAAGGGAAAAGAGGGGATGAGTACAGAAAGAGAAAAAGGGAGTGGGTGGGTATGCCAACTGAATAACCATAGGCCTTAGAATGCTCTGGCTAATACCCATTTTTCCCTTACTTTAACTGTGGCAGAGGCACTTGCTTCCCGGCCCAGTACACAACGTGCCAGTCACAAGGGGGAAGCAAGGACAGGAGGCAGAATGTCAGCAGCCCCAGCCTGTGGGCCCTCCTCCCTTCCCTCTGTCTGGGGAAACCTTCCATCTATGTAAAGACACAAAGAAAACACAGTTCAGGGCACAGCCACTGACTTAAATGCAATATACATAGGAATTTATAGGATTAAGCTGAGCCAAAAGTGTTCAACTCCAACTACTCACCTCCGCTGATGCAACCCAAGCTCACCATTAACTAGAATACGTAAACATGGCTACATGGGTCAAACTGTATTCCCATAAAATCTTATTTACAGAGTCAACTCCTGTTTTTCTAGAACATACAAGCTGACCTGAATGACATTTAATGGGGAACAAATAAAGCAAGAAGAACATAGTAAAAGACTGATATGGATTTAATGAGACATATTCCATATTGGTTATTGAATACCAGGAGGCTGTCCAAGGAACCATCATTAAATAACACAATCCCAAAACAATGCAACTCTCACATACACAAGCATACTCACACAAAATGTTACTCTTTGAATCATTAAGTTAATCCCTATCTTTACAAACAGATGTAAAATATTACAGTGAAAAAAATACATGCACAGATTTCAGAAACACAATTGGGATTGTCTATGGACACAGATAAACGTACTCTTTTCAGATACATACGGCCTCATGATTGCCAAGACCACATGGCTCAAGGGGTAACTTCTCATCCTCCTCCACGTCAGAACTGGAGATTTAATCAAGCCATTTAACCATTTAAATGGTTGCAGTTTTTGCTTAGAGAAGGGCAGCCTGCTCTTGAAGAAAACCGTCATTCCAAGACTGAAGACAACAAACGACCTGCTGATTCAAGTGTGTTCCTTAAAGAGGTGCCAGAAAAAAATGGAATCACATTTGAAATACACCTGTGTGGGGTATATGGGTGGGTGGATGGGTGGTTGAACAGCTTTCTTCTGCTAAGGGGTTTGCTCACCGAAGAGATAGTAGCTGTGTCTTGTGATGAGAGATAAAACCAGAGGCAAATGAAGTGTTAAGATTTCTACTACTATTATCTTCCATTTGCTTCAACCCCCCCCCCACCGAACCCTCTTTCTAAAGTTGCAGATAATGACACACATCTGATGCTGGCTAGACCATGTGTAAAGACCAAATAACCCTTGAAGTAGAAAAGCAATCATGAGTAACAAAAAGTAGGATATTTCACAGGCAGAGACATGTGAGAAATTAAAACATCTGGCAGAGGTAGATGAGCATGCGAAAAACACACGCACGCGCGCGCACACACACACACACAGAACAAGACTCCCTAAATTTACTACGTTATTTTTCTGTAGGTCTTTATAATACTTGGAATTCAGACAAGAGTCAGAATAAATAACTTTGCTTGCATAACTCTTGTCTAAAAAGAAAATAAGTATCCCTAATAGGACCATCTATTATTTTCATTTGTGAATAGCAGTACTTGATGAAGAGGACAAGATCAACAGGCAATATACAAGCCCACATTATTCCATATTCTCATGTTCTTGTAACAAAAACATGCTTTCCTTTCCAATAGTCCCCAAAGAGGTTTGCTGCTAAAATACAAATGATTAAATATAAATTAATAGCAATCACAGAAATGTATACAGCTTTAGAATTGTAAGAACAATCTTGTATGGTGTCCAATGATTTGTGATAATGCTTCCATGAATCATACTGGGTATTAATGTTAAGGAAACAGTAGTGCTTTCCACAATTCTAACTTCTAGAGGCTAACCTATGGGAGGAATTTTCAGCATCGGGAACTGGAATCTATACAAGAGTCATCTAATTACAGCTCCCTACTAGAAATGGAACATAGCGAGGACACTTGAATAAGGTGACAAAGGCCAGCTTTGTCAATAAGGACACCTTTGGCCCTTCTGGGCTAGCTCTGAGTTCCCCCATCAAGTATAAGAATATTTCAGTGTCCCTATTTGTTATATAAATCCTAACAGATAAGTCTTCACCCTAGCAGGGGAGCTGGAAAACACACCTAATTCACAGTCCTCGGCCTTGCTTAGGACAGCTCGCCACACTACCTCTAGGCCTTTTCTAAGACAGAGGTGATCATCCTGTTTCACCACACAAAGACACGAGAAACTAACCATCATTAAAAAGCATAAAGCACTCTGCAACTGCAAAAAGTGCTATTTTGGCATCAATGTAACAACTAGAAAACATTCATGACTTGTGCTATTTGGCAATTTTGCATTTACACTTCTCCCTGACTGTGTCTTCTTGTGTAGTCTTGATATGTTTACAGGGCCTCTACACACAGGGGGCGGGAAATCCTGCTTTGACTGACTAGATCTCTTATTGACACAGACAGAGTTGGGGGTTAGTGGGGTTGGGGTACACACATGCAAAGTGGAGACAAATGAGACAAAGGACCTTTTCATCCCAACAAGCCACCTCTGCCTTCCTGGATTGCTCCCAGACCAAGCGAGAACTATTGCATTTCCTGCCCACTGACAAGGTGACAGGTGAGACTGTCAGGGAATTCTGGGCCCGGCACACGTTTGACCTTGGAGGGAAGGGGCAGAGGTCACCCAACCTGGACCCCTCAGGAAGCTAGGGTGCCAGAAGTGGCAGCTCCGCATTTCCCAAGGAAGCTGCGAGCTGGTGACGAGCGGTTTCCTAACTCGCAGAGGTCGCCCCTTAAAAAGGCGGCCATGTGGGGTGGGGTTTGTTTTTTCTGCTCAGTTTTCCCCTGGATGTATCAAAACAGCAGCTAACCTGTGACTCACAGACAGGGGGAAAGGGGGATCCCCTCTGACTGCACTAAGGTTCTTGTTCTCCCCCTATAACTACGAGGGGGTTCAAGGTGGACACCACTCCGACCATGGAGGGGGGGGGGGACCGGACAGAACCTTTAGCACCTGCTTGATGTCTGTCCCCTTCCTTCTTCCTAGATTCCGGCCGATCACAGCCGCACACCCCTATCTCCCTGCCCGCCCTGCGGCTCTGTGCCTCCCCAGACCCCCGATCCCTCCGAACCCCTTCCTCACGGGCCCTCAAAACTGGCCTCTGAGCCCCGCTCCCGCCTGCACCTGCGGCATCCCCAAGGAACTCACCCACATCTCACCGGAAGCTCATCCGCCAGGAGGTAGGCAAAAATCATTAGCACCCCAAAAGTAAGTGGCTCCAGGGCATCCCAAGCGGCCTCCCAGGGTGTCCCCCGCAGGCCCCGGGTGTCCCCCCGCAAGCCCCAGATGTCCACCTGCAGGGGCAGGCCCCGGATGTCCTCCCAGGCAGCCCTGCCCCCCCCCCAGGGTGACCTAGCACAGGTGCAGCTTGTGGTGCTGCGCCAGGTGTGTCTTGTAGCGGAAGGCCTTGCCGCAGGCGGCACAGCGGTGCGGCCGGTGCCCGGTGTGGATGCGGCGGTGGCGGATGAGGTGCGAGCTCTGGATGAAGCTCTTGCCGCACTCGGCGCAGGCGTAGGGCTTCTCGCCCGTGTGCGTGCGCTGGTGCTGCGTGAGCGTGGAGAAGTCGCTGAAGCGCTTGGGGCACTGGCCGCAGCCGAAGGGCTTCTCGCCGGTGTGCACACGCAGGTGGTTGACCAGGTGCGAGTTGCGGCCGAAGGCCTTGCCGCACTCGCCGCACGTGTAGGGGCGCTCGCCCGAGTGCGTGCGCTTGTGCGTGAAGAGGTGTGAGCTGACGCTGAAGGCCTCGCCGCACTCGGAGCACAGGTAGGGCTTCTCGCCTGTGTGCACGCGCTGGTGCTTCACTAGGTCCGAGCGCCAGCTGAAGCGCTTGCCGCACTCGCCGCAGCCGTGCGGCTTCTCGCCCGTGTGCACGCGCTGGTGGTTGGCCAGGTGCGAGCGGCGCGCGAAGCCCTTGCCACACTCGCCGCACGCGAAGGGCCGCGCGGCCGCCGTGCCCCTACCCGCGGCCGCCGTGCCCGCGCCCGCGCCCGCCGCGTGCGCCCGCCGGTGGCTCAGCAGGTGCGAGCTGAGGCTGAAGGCCTGGCCGCACTCCGGGCATGGGTAGGGCTTCTCGCCGGTGTGCAGCCGCCGGTGCTTGAGCAGGTCAGCGCGCCAGCTGAAGCTCTTGCCGCAGTCGGTGCACAGGTTGGGCCGCTCGCCCGCGTGCAGGCGCAAGTGGTTGGCCAGGTAGGTGTTGCGGCTGAAGCCCTTGCCACACTCACCACAGTGGAAGGGCTTCTCCCGCGGGGGTCGTGCGCGCGCCTCTGAAGCCACACTGCCGGCCACGCCCACCA